GGTGTGGTATGCTAACGATTCCAGTATGAGCGAACCAACCTAAGGGGATGGGAATAATAAAAATAAGGAAAAAACAAAATGGTAACAAGTCAGTGAGGATTTTAAAATGCTTGCAGTATTTAAACACATATTGCGGAAATGTAAATTCGTGTCTTAATTTGGGAACCTTGTTGTGCCCGAGGTATGCCTAGAAACAAATAGATTTGGAGAACTTTAGATACCTACAAATGCTTCATTTCATACTATAAAAATAGACAAATCCCAAAACGACACTAAGATAATAGAAAAAATAAGTCACAACTTGCACTTGGCCTTATTATATTTTAAGAAAGCAAATAAATCTAGCCTACTTGGTCCTGGAAGGACCTTCCTCAGGCTGAATGCTCTCGTTGATCAAATTCTCCAGTTCACATAGGTTTATCTGTAAGAATGCCTTTGCCAAATGTTCTTCTTCGTTTTCCTCAGCGTTCTGGCAATCGGTGACTCTCTTCCTCACATTTCCTTCCAATTCCAACTGACTGTATTCCAGATATTCTAGCTTTTTGCTAGATTTGACGGCCCTCTCTTTCCATTCATTGATTTGGCCACTTGATGGAAGATTCCTCCACCAGTCTAGCAAGAGTGAGGGTGTGCTAACCATACCAAAGCAGGGGACCTCCTGCCTCATTTTTTGCAAAACAAAAGGGTTAGGCCTTTCTCCCCCACCAGACTCGAATATTTATACATTCATGATTAGCATAATGGCATTTAGTTCTCCAAATTAATGCATAGAACGTGGCTGTGTCATATGGGATTAGGGAAATCCCGTTGGACTTTGGATAAGGCTCTTCTTAAAGGATCATTATGTGGACAACATAATTGATACGACTTGGTTTGACCATGATGCATGCACAATTTTGATCACAATAAGGTTACTATTGGGTTTTAGACCGGTACCCTCAAGCGGACACTTGAGGGGGAAGGCACAGAACCGTCGACCGCACCACTGGGTAATAAATAGGAAGAGCGCAACCACTCATTAAGCGTTGCTATAGGATTTGATCTGCACGAGTGGAATATGATGTCGAGCGTGATTTATGCAGGAATTAATAGCATGTAGTCATGTATTTGCACGTAGGAAAAATAAATACAGTATTTAAATAATTGAAAGATAGTTACGGAAAAAGAAAACAAAGAGACAAGTCAGTTTCATGAATAAAAGAAACATAAATGCTTAAAATAGGCAGTTAAATTCAAATAAGGGGAAAGGGTTCAGGATAGAGCATGCTTGGGCTAATTCATAAAAAATAAGTTCATTATGGTAAGAGCCTAAGATATCCCCAGGAGAGTCGCCATGCTGTCGCGCCCCCTATTTCCGTCCGCGGAGAGAAGTCCGAGTTCCGACGTTCACGGGGGTAATAACTCATTTCCTTTTGGAATTTGGGTATTTGAAGTGTCGCCACCTAACGGATTTATGGTGCGTTAGGGCACCTAGAGTTATTAACTCTTAGACTGTTTTGCATTACCGGAGATTTAGGGTAAGGGCTCGAAATAACCTTGAGGGAAAGGTGTTAGGCACCCCCTCGGTCCACAATAGTGGATTCCCATCAAACTCATACTTATGAATTAGTCCTTTAACAAACAAGAAGTTGAAACACATAATTTGCAAGTAAAAGCATGTTGGACACTGTTTGACTCAAATAATAATAAGACAAAGAATTTGAGCAAGTTGCATATAAAAGAGTAAAGTTTAAACATTGGGAATTGGAGAAAGGGATCCTTGGTTGATTAGCCTATAGGATCACCCCACATAAAGCCCCGTAAACACTCCTCAATGAGGGGCCACACGTAACATAAGTGGTAGTCATCATATCCTTTCCTACCCGGTTTCCCCCCATTGGTCATAACCTAAAGCGTTCTAATAACCTTAAAATGTCTTATGCGTGCATTACCCGTCTCCTTCTCGTGGTCCTGGAGGTATTTTAGGACCTCTACTTTTGGACAGTTCTAGACCCTCCTAAGGTTTTAAAGCATAAAAGTCTAGGCGTCAGTCAAGAACAGTTAGGACTGCATATAAAGGGAACAAGTTATAGGCCCAGAGTTACCTCCACAAATATAACAAGTAAATACACGTCTTCAAACAACAATCAAATATTTAAGAGAAGATCCTAAAACTGGGTATCTAGGTAAGCAGGGATTACACGGCATTGAATTAGGACAAAGTATCAAAATCCTATTTAGCTTGCCTACTGGTTTAAACCTGTTAAATCTGGATAGTTTTAAATAGCAAAAGCGGAGTTTTAGAGTTGCAGAATTTTAATCGGCCTATAGGCTTGCCTAAACGCAGACATTGATGTCCTAAGAGCAGGATATCTACATTGATTTAGCAAAACAGCGAACAAGTTTAAACAGATACTTGAGATCCTATAGACATGTTTTCTAGCGCTAGTAAATTATGGTAGTGTTTTGAAACTCATTTAAAGAAACGGGCAGTAATTGAACCAATTTGAACATGAATTAAACTGACTTGCTTAGCCAAACTGATTTTAGTTTTGTAGGCAGGATTTCTAATTTTAATTCCTTTAGGCATGGTATCTAATTGGTAAGAGCTAATGTTGGAACTTATAGCAAGATTTCTAGTGAAACAAATGCAAATACATGCAGTGGCAGAAATTAAACTCAATTACTTTACCCTCTATGGAAGGGGGAAATGGTAGCCGTTGATCTACGTGATCAACAGCTGGGATTAAAGGGTGTGAGGACCGGATCGGGTATTTGGGGTGTGGGCCGAGTATTTTAATCAGAAATTGGGTTGGGTATTGGGATTGGATTGGGTTGAATTGGGGCTAAAATTGAAATATGATTAGGCCATATTTTAAATAGCCATTTTAATACAATTAGTTTATAAGAAATGATAAATAATTTTTGAAAAATAATTTCGTGTACTAAAATGATTTAAAAATAATTGTTTAACATTTTAGAAATATAAAAGACCATTTTATATATTAATAACGTAATTATGCCTTAATATGTATAGAATTGCAAATATATGCAAATTAACTAAAAATGTTAATACAATTATGCACTAAAAATATTTAAGCAATATTAGATGGCTAAATCACCATAAAAATAACTTGAAGGATAATTATTGGAAATTTTATGAGTAAAAAGGGGAGAAATAAATCAATTTGAAGTCTTTAAAAATTATAGAAAAATTATAAAAACGTTTATGAATGCTTATATATGCATATATGTTATTTTGAAAGTATACATATGTATTGAAAATATATAGGCAAAAATTGGATATCAACAGTTACCATCCCACTTTTGATACCTTCTTCGATCCTTTCCCCAAGTTTGATGATGTCAGGGAATTTATGGCTTTCAATAACCATCAAGCTTTCATATTATTGCGGATCCTGTGCTCTGCCGAAAAATTTGTTCATCTGTTCCTCGTCCAAAGATGGCCTAACTTTGGTAGCTTCTGACCTCCAATGAGTAGCGTACTCGCGAAAAGTTTCAGTGGACTTCTTCCTAAGGTTCTGAATGTAGAAAACATCTGGTGCATTTTCTGTGTTGAACCTGAATTAGTCCATGAAATCAAACTCTATACTTACCCAGTTGGACCGTTTCTTAGGATCCTAGCTGATGTACCCGAAGAAAGCATCTCCCGTAAGACTTCTCATAAGGAGATTCATCCGGATCATTTCATCCTTTCTGACCCCAACAAGCTTGTCATAATAAGTCCTCAAATGAACCCTGGGATCACCTGTACCGTCAGACATCTCGAACATGGGAGAGTTGTAACCCTCTGGTAGTTCCACATCGGGCTGTATGAATAAATCTTCATAGTTCAAACCTTCAATTCATTTGCGGCCTTCAACACCCTGAACTCGACGCCGCAACTTCTTGAGTTCTTTAACCATTTTTTGGTAAGCACTTCCTTCTCAGTGGATTCTGGTGTATAGGAAGTTGGTTTCTGTATAGTGAGGTACGATTTCCACGTATATGGGATTATTTTTGTGAGTGCTGGGTGCTTGGGTGTAATGGTGGTCATTGGTTGAGTTTTGAGGATCGTGAATGGGTTGTGGTGTGTTCTGGGAAGTATGATATGGCGGTTGGTGGGTACTAGACTAGTTGATAGTGGTGTTGTGGCAGAGTTTGTACTGTTAAGGGATTGAGATTTTGAGGTGGGGTTGCATATTGATGCGGTGCAAGAGGGTTTTGTGGATGTTGGTTTGGTGTGTTTTGGGGAGGTGCTGGGTTCTCTATGTTTTGTTGATTGATGCCGGGGACATTCAGGGTGAGTGATAAGTTTACCAAGTTGCGGACCTGCTCAAGCTCTCCCTCACTACTAAAAAATTGGTAAATGCGTTACCATACACAGTTAAACTGTTGCCATAGAGGTATTGGAACGGTTTACAACCCGTTCCATCAGCTCGCGTGCCTATAGAGATATAGGAACGGTTCTTGCAATGGTTTACGTCGTTGTTGCTCCTTTCTCTGTTGGAACGATTATTCTCTACAATTGGAACGGTTTAAAACCGTTACTATATTATGTATGCAACGGTTCTTAACCGTTACCATATTTTCTAATGCAGCACTTATGTAAGCTATTGTTATGGTTATGTATGGATGCACCAATGGTTTTTTAAGCTATTATAACTGTTTTATTTGTATCGCTACGGTTTATAATAAACTATGACAATAAAGGAAAAGGTATGGCAACGGTTTTAACTATCTATTGGAACGGTTTATCGATCATTTAGGAACGGTTTATAAGACCTATTGTAACGATTTATATTGTCTAACTAAACGTTATTTGTGTCCTATTGCAACGGTTTTTGTAGGCTATTGTAACAGTTCAATTAAAACAAAACTATAGCCCTTATTATAAATAAATATTTATATATTTAATAAATTAAAATAACATAAAAATTTAAATAAATCACAAAATAAAACTATTAATAATATAAATTATCCATCAAGCTGATAATATTCATAAAGCAAATGTTACCCCAAGTGCATAAGTTTAATACATTTCAAGATAGTAAGTTTAAAAATGTTGATAACAAAAGATTCCCTAGAACATTCATCTATAGCAATTCAACATTCATCTATAGCAATTCAAAACTCATCTCAATTAAGGTCTAGTTCTTCATTGCCATCATCTTCCATTTCGTGATCTACTCCGCCTGCAAAAGAGGATAAATAAAGTCATTACCCTTCAAGAGAATCCGGGCTAAGATATCATGTAAATAGTTCTTGGACAGCCGTGTGCGGACACTTCAACTTATTTCGATTCTATGTATTGGTTCCGGATATTTTTTGCAAATAAACGAGTCAACCAAATAGCAACCTACAACTATGCCTACTAGTGAGCGGCAAACTAACGAGTCAGTATATATAGTAGTTACTAAACTGCGTCATGCATAAGTAGTTCATTTTGATATGGCTTTCATATAACTACTTGACAAACTCAACTCAAAGTTTTCTATAGAGTGTTATGGGGACATTGAGAAAGGAAAACAAGGTGTTTTAAAAGCACCATATTCTCGGGAAAGAGCAAAAGCTGCCTTGGACTTTTATTTATGTCCAAGGCATTTAGAGGGAACAAGGAAAGAGATGTTATGTTATTGATAGAGTTAGAGCTATTTGCCTCAACGGTGGAAGGCAGAGAGCTTAGCAAATGTGCTAGTCCGCAACCACAATACATACATAGTTCAAATTGTTTAATTTGATTCAATTTATAGAAAGAGATTTAAAAAAATAAAAAAATTATGTATAGTGCAACGACCTAATATGAGCCAAAATTTGGCCTCGGACTCCTTATCCTAGCGTTCAACTTGGGCTATTGGTATAAAAGTTTAATTTTTGTCATGTTTATCTTAATCTACAAACTAAACATGTAGATGCTAGCGAGAAATTCAAAAATAGCCAGATTTACAACTTGTCGTTTAAAAATAACTCAATTTCAAAAGTAATCGAAATTTAGTCACTTTTTATGTAAAGATAAATTTGAGCGAAGACACTGTTCAAAACCCGAAAAATACGCCCGTATATTATACTGGAGATCCAGCATAAGTATACTTGAACTCCCGCATATTATACTGTAGTTCCAGGATAAGTATGCTGGAACTCCAGCATAATATAATGGAACTCCAGCATAATATACTGGAGTTCAAGTATAATTATATGCGGGAGTTCCAGCAAGTATACCGGTCGAGCATAATATACTGGAGTTTGGAGCACTGGTGCTCCACTCTCCCGTATATTATACGGGAGTCATCAAAGTATATCGGTCCCGCATAATATGCTGGAGTTCATACACAGGTGCACCGAACTCCCGTATATTATGCTGGACTAGTCTCTGTTGTAGCAAAATAGTGGCTATTTTTCATTGACTTGATAAACGTTGGCTATTTTTGATTGACCAGTGCGAAAACTGGCTATACCGTGCTATTTTAACAGTATAATTAATACCTCCTTAGATGTAGTAGTTTTTATTTAACCTCTTACTACATTTCTATGGAAGTAATTTACACGGTGCTTTCCCCTATGTAGTGTAGCAGTTGCCAAGGCAATGCGATTATGTTAAAATGTGAGTAATACTAAGAACTCTATCACGTTATTAGCGCACTTCGAGATAATATTATCTCTTTAATTAGAGGCACCATCACTTGACAGCTTGGAACTCTAATTTTGGTTGTTCAATTTACAGATTTGGTTAATTGGAAGATCTTTGTGCTAACAATAAATACCGAACGTACATATGAATAACAGAATTAATATACTGCTAAATGAGTTACAACTAGAAATATTGACACTAATGAAACAGTGCATATGACAAAAGCATCAAATCCTCTGGCCTAGCCAAGACAAAAACACCAGCTAACCAGCTAAGGATTTAACCTAAAAGATGAAAACTCAAAATGGACCCCATTATAACAATAGGATACCCTACTAAATTCAAGGATTACCCCTGCAATTGCCAAAAACTCCATTGCAGTAGCTGCCCACTTTCCTAATATGACCTAAATAAACAAAACAACTCCGGTGGACTTACCCAAACTCTATATATTTTGAAACTGTATCAACAACAGCTTATATAACACATTAAGGAACTCAAATTAAAGGAGCTTAGAGAAGTAGCACAGAACTTACAGATTACCAAATTGGACATTTTTATCTATACCCAAATTTTGGAGTACCGGTTTACTTGCATCGGTCTTCATCTTGCTAAAGGTTTAGTACTGAATTTATCAGATGTAAACCTGAATGAACAACATAGCTCCATTTAAGAGTCTAATTCAACACAAGGTTAAGAGCCATTAAAAATATTTTGCTGATCCAATTGTGAAACATTAGGATAAAGAGAAGTAAAAATATTTAATAGAACCTTCATAACAAACCAAACAGCAATTACATAAGAAAAACATTTAAAAGAAGCACCTATTCAGCATCTCATTTCCACCCCCATAACTTCTATCAAACAAGATGAAAGATTTTCATAGTTCTCAAAAAACGAAAAATACGGAAATGCTATACTTGCTGCTATCTCCTCAAATATCAAATTTATCACTATAAAATTACCAATTCACAAAAACTAAAACTCATTCAAGAATCACACCAGGGAAATCCAACATGCAGAAAAAAAGAAGAGCAGGTGAAAGAAGTAGGTACATGTTCTTTCATATAGATTATAGTCACCCACAGCTGCAACCAACCTTCTTATAAAGAAGTTTTTTCTCTTCTAAAGCATTTGAATTGAAAACAAGCAAAAGCTATAGACTGTTTGATATGCTACTGCATGATAAACAAAGTGTAAAAAAATGGGTTTGCAAAAGCTGTATCTAGAAATGGCCCAACTATAGGCAATATTAACTACTGTAACTTGAAAACTCTATCAGAATTAACTACAAATGCAGATTTCTGGAGTCAAATAGACCTATTGAAGATTACAGTTAGACCCTTGACAAAGCTGATCGGCAAGCGGCCCGGCAGTGGCAAGGATTTTGGCATGATGGCCTTGCCATTGGCCTATGTGCGGGGCATATCAACATGCAAGATAATGCGAGTGTTGTCAATGGCAACAAACTGTTGCAACGGCAAGTGTGACGGACTACGCTTCTATTTGAGGGCTAAGGTGTGACGGACTAAACCAAAATAAGAGTGGGTTGTGTGCAAGCAAAGGCCAAGACCTTGACAGAACTAGGCGGGCTGGACGGATGTTTGACAAGGCAAAACGGGAAAGACCTCGGCGCTAAAATGGAGCAGCATAGTGCCAAGGCAATGGCATTGGCAATGTGATGTTGCCATGACTTAGGTGAGCGGGCTGGCACCTAAGTAAATTGTGGGCAAACGACTTAGCAACGGGAAGGGCATCAAGGCTTGGTGACTTGATGCCAAAATCAGCATTGGCATTGGCAACGGGCAGACTTGATCAAGTAGGGACGACTTGACAAGGACAAGCAAATGTGCAGCGGGAAGGCAGTGCGCGGGCAGACTTGTCATGGCATTGAGTTGCTGCAAACGGGCCAAGTTCGTGAGCGATGGTGTCACGACCCAAACCCCGCTCCAGTCGTGATGGCGCCTCTCGTGAAGACACGGCCATCCAACCAACTCAAATTTCCTTTTCAAAAATAGGTAAACATGAATAAACAGTCTAAATATGATTTTAAGATAACAATTAGCGGAAGTACAACCCAAACACAGCCCAAACCGGGGTGTCACAAGTCACAAGCATCTAGAAGAGTCTAAATACAAGTTCAAGGCCAATAATATACAAATTAGAATTTATTATCAAAAGGAAGAAATTCGGTGTCGCGAACGCTGGCGGTCACCTTGCTCAGCTACGATAACAAAATCTCCAACCAGCTCAAAACCCGCTCTACCGGGTGAACAAATACATGCATCTGCACACGAGGTACAGGGAGTAAAGTGAGTAATTCGGCTCAGTGAGTAATAAAAGTAAATAATATCTGAGCAGTAAGAAATCACGTATAACAGATCATCATGCTGTATAGAAGCAAAGAAAAATCATTTTTAGTAAAGCAGTGAAGCTGTGACTCCTTTAGAAATATCTTAACATTAGTTTAAGCCTTTTTTGAGAATGACTTTTCAGCGATTACGCAAATGAATGCAACAAACAAATAGTGCAGGTAAGCATATGATTTCGCCTCTCGGACAACACTCAGTTATCAGATAATGCCAGAATATCAGGTAAATATTGCAAGAAGTAGAACAAACAACAGATAATGGTAGACAAATGAAAAAAAGTAAACACATAACATAGTATTAGTACAGCTGCGGCGTGCAACCCGCTCCACGTTGCGGTGTACAACGCAATCCATTTAACGTCAACGGCGCTAACTGGTGGTGTGTACGGACTCCGGAGGGGATCCTACAACCAAGCGCAATATCAAGCAATCTCGTGGCGTCAACTAGGATCTCGGCCTCAATATCAATATAATTCTGCTGCGGCGCGCAGCCCGATCCATGCTCCGTCCGAAAATTCACATAAGACTCTCGGGTAATATTAAAATAATAGTTCTCAGCTAAAAACATCATTAGAAATATTGTTTACATTTTCAAATCTTAGAAAGATGGGTGAGTTTGCAAAACAGTATTAAAACTTAGGACTGAGATCAGATAATATGCCAAATAATGTGAAAACAGTGATAGCAATCCCTGAAGGATTCAAATAATTGGCACGAAGACCAAATATAACAATTAAATCCAAGTAAGGATGATTCTCAAATAAGTTCTAATCGAAAACACGGTAAAAACATCACTCGGGACGGACCAAGTCACAATTCCCAATAACAAACGACCTCGCACTCGTTATAGAGCGCGGGTGGAGCCTCAATATAGCGTTGCGATGTGAAATTCCGAGGTTTCAAACCCTCAGGATATCATTTACAATCATTACTCACCTCGAACTAGTGAAATCTCTAGCCCGCGACGCCTTTGCTCCTAAAATCAACCGCCACGCGCGTCGAATCTATTCAAAATCAGAGCAAGTACATCACAATATGCTAAGGGAACAAAGCCCAAGGGATAACAATCAATAACGGGCACAAATCCCAAAATTACCAAAACCCGAGCTTCGGGCCCACTTCTCGAAACTCAGAAATTTTTACATAATTAGATTCCTCATCTCCTCGTGAGTTCATACATATCAAGAATACCAAAATTTGAGTTCAAATGACCCCTCAAATGCTTAATATAAAATCTCAAATCCCAAGCCCTAGTTCTTCCATTTTAGCTAAATTTCCATGAATTTCTAGTCCAATTTCACAATATACTCGAGTTTTAAGTTCAAAAATCTTACCTCCAATAAATTCCCAGTCGAATCCCTCTTCAATTCCCGTCCAAAAGCTCTCAAGGTTGCTAAAAAGTGGTGGAAATAAACCTTAGCTCGCGGAACAAAATGAGCTTTTAAAACCCTTCTCTGAACAGTCATTTTCGCATATGCGGTTGCCTTACGGCATTTGCGACTACCGCTTCTGCGGTTCTACCTCCGCTTCTGCGGTTCTTCACTATGCCCATGACCGCTTTTGCAGTCAAATCTTGCTCCTGCGAACACTGATAACTATGATTTTAACACGTTTTAAGCCCATACTTTCCTAAGATTTGTGTGTGAATTGCCATAAATTAGTCCTAAAATGCTTACAAGTTCTGCTTGATTGCAGGTTTGAGCGACAAGATGACAAATGACAAAGATCGGCTCAAAAAGGAGTAAAATCTGCCAAGTGTCAAAGACAAGTGAAGTGGGGAACAAGGAAGCCTAGCGCGGACCGCACTGCTCTGCCACGTGGCCGCGCTAGGAGTTCAGAGACTGTGCATTAACGAGGTATCCTGCGCGGTCCGCGCTCATACTTACGCGGTCCGCGCCTTTGGAGGTTTAGAGACAAGAGAATTAAAGGCAAACCCACGCGACCGCGCACCAAAACAGTGCGGTCCGCGTGGATGATGTTCGTAGAGTTGATATTTTTGCCAAGTCTGCCCACGCGGCCGCGCTACAATCCAGTGCGGTCCCCGTGAATGATGGTCAGAGAGATGACATTTTGCCAGTCAGCCAACGCGGCCGCGCCCATTTATGCGCGGTCCGCGCCAGTCAGCAGACGCGGCCGCGCCCCATTTATGCGCAGTCCGCACCCTTCAGCCAGCGCGGCCGCACTACCTTTTTGCGCGGTCCGCATCCCCAACTTCAGAGGAGAGATTTGAAGACCAAGACCCTGCGCGGCCGCACTGCATTTATGCGCAGTCCGCGCCGTCCCACAGGGGTATTTTTGTCCAGTTTTTTCAGTGCACTATAAATAAAATGTTTTTTAGGTTAAGTATTAGATATCAGATAGTAGCTGCACTCGTGACTTGCAAGTTTTAGCCTATTTTGGGAAATTTCATCTTGTTTTATCGTGGATTCTTGTAGATTAACATTTTAGTTAATTAATATGTCGATTTTATCTATTATTTCTTCAATTTCTATTTCTATCATTCTAGCTAACCCCATTGGCTAGGGTTGTGGCTCAACCCTAGTGTGGGTAATTAATGTGTATGATTGTTTAATGCTTGAATGATGTTGGGTATTTGTTATTTGGGTTAATTTTATGATTTCATTTGGATTTGGTGGTTGCAAACACTAAGTCTAGCTTAGTGGGTCTTGACTCTTCTTGAGAAAGAGAGTCTATGACCCCAAAATTGACCCAACAAGGAATTGGGATGGACCCATGAGAATGGTAGTCCCAATTAACGGGTTAAACCTCGAGAAAGTAATTATGCAACTTGAACCCTAAGTTGCTTAGGCAAATTAGCCTACCCAATTGGTCTCGAGAAAGTCAATTGGGCAAAATCACTCTCTCTAACGAGAGGTGTGAGAGTGACTGCAATAGTGCAGCGGTTATAGCATAATCCCCCATAATCATCATTCTTGTATTAGAAATCTCTACCCGTTAGTTGACCACCTAGGTGAATGCCACGACCCTAGTGCCTTTCTCTATCTTGCATACAATCTAGAATTAATATCTTAGCATAACTTAGTTTTAATTTATAGTCGATAAATTGTAGTTGATAATCATAAAAACCCCAAAAATATTAGAAGTACAATTAGGAGCTAAAACGCATTCCTAGACCAAACAAATACGCAACTCCACTCCAAGCTCCCTGTGGAAATTGACCCCGATACCACTATTGGGTAAAAGTCTTAGCGCCCGCTCTTCTTATGGTTGAGTTTGCTGCGATCACTTTTTGGCGCCGTTGCCGGGGAGCTTACGGTGTTTGACTATTTGTTGGCTAGTTTTGTGTTTTGCTTCTTTTTCCTTCTTTTTAATTCTATTTGTGTCGATTCACTCATGTACCAATGGCTTTAAACAGACAAGATGCTCTTGGCAACGTGGGTGTGGAGGAGATTGAAGACCTAGAACAAGAGGAGGTTTTACCTTAAGCACAAAGACGAGGTAGAAATGCTAATGCTCCGGTTAATACTATTGACAACATTCCAGACCCTCCTCTACCTCCACCACCAAGAGTAGCACCAAGGGTTCTACCCAACCAAAGATATGCCAGTTCTATAGTTCCTCCCCTTCGGGCGGGGAACTTCCAAATCACCAATGTCGTGCTCACCTTGCTCGAACAACGAGGGCACTTCACGAGCGCCTCCGACCAAAACAAGCATTTGAAGGGGTTTGTGGATACCTGTTGGGGGAGCAAGCCGACGAATGTTTCGGAAGATGCACTGAGGTTAATGCTTTTCCCGTTCTCACTTTGGGAGAAAGCATTGGATTGGTTAGA